AATTATGTGAGTAGCAGTAAATTAGTAACATCGCAGGGTGTGGTGAATAAATGTACTCTAAATAATATATATATGTAAAAAAATATAAAATTTCAGAAAAAAATCAAAATAATAAAATAAAATAATTTGAAATAATTTGAAATAATTCAAAATATACTAAAATAAATAAAATTATAAGATTGTATATATTAAAAGTTATTATTATATATTCATTTATTTGAATTAATTTGAAATTTTCAAAAAATTTTAAAATATTTCAAAATATTTTGAAATTATTCTAATTTTTATATTGTTGGATCTTTTGCAGTTTATTGCAATTTATTTTGCAATATTTCAAAATATTTTTCAAAATTTTTCAAAATTATTTATTTCAAAATATTTCATGTCGATCGCAATAATTTTGAAATATTATATATTTTTTGCTGATATATATGTGATCATATAAATTTCAGCATTATCTGATTTTAGCTTCATCTCTGACAATTACTTATAACTTCAGTAGATAAATTATAATATGAAGATCAAGAAATTCAAAGAGATTCATTTGATCTTATTAAGTTTACTTAGTGAATTTAAGTCATTTTACAAAAAAGATTATCTACCCAAACTTTTTAAAAAAGTATTGTAAAACATATAAAAAATTTTCTTTAATTGTATAACAATCAGATCGTTATTTCCTAATTTTGGGTCATCTAAAACCATGTACCCACATGACTTTTTTGTGTAAATCAACTAACCAGAATTGCGAAATTTTGTTTACACAGATTAGTCTGAAAAAGTCAAAAAATAAAAAAAAATACAAAAAGACGAAAAACAACAGTCTTAATCTATCTTGGGGCACTAATTAAAAATGTCAGGAAGGCAATTTTACTTATACTTCTCTTCTTATATTAATACCCAACTAACCCTAATCCTAACCTTAATTTTAATTTAAATGATTAAAATGTTAAAATCACGTAAGTACATGGCTTTAGCTATCCCTCTAATTTGGGAGTTGTCTAAAGCGGAGCAGAATCATGTGATACCTGATCAATCAAATTATAAAATTTTGATAAGCGTCAGTGAAGCAAGACAAGAAATAAAAATGAAAAACCTGAAAAATACAAAAAATAGCAGTCTAAACCTACCTTAGGTAGGTTAATTAAAAATATCTGGAAGGTAATTTTGCTTATATACAGTATAACTACCTAAAACCTAACCTAACCCAATATAAGCTAACTCTAACCCTAAAGTTAATTTAATAAAATATATATTATAAGAATCTGCTCTGCTTTAGACGTCCCCCTTAATTAGTAATAATAATATCTTGATCCGTTGGGAATTAGCGGAAACTCCGTTTCCGCTTATTCACATACGGTCAGGGTATTATTAATTAATACTCCCGTGATCTTGATATAGTGATCGGGGTATTATTATTACAAATCCACTAGTGCCAAAATCCCAAACTGATGCCGAAATCTCAATCTAATGCCGAAATTCCAAACCAATGCCGAAATCCCAAACCAATACCTAAATCTTTAATCAATGCTAAAACCCTAAACATGATTTTCACGAAACCTAAACCAATACCTAAATCTCAAATAAGTGCCAAAATCCCAAACCAATAGACTAATGCCGAAGCTCCAAATCAATATTAAAATATATACATACTAAAATATATATTATATGAATATGAGTTAGTGTATATAAAAATTTATATGTCATTTGAGATTCTGATATTAGTTTACAGATACTTTCATAAATTCTAAGACTCTTGAAAATTTTATCGATTCAGCTATCAGAAAATTTTTTTAGCTGTCCCAGAAATTACGACAAAAGCTGTAAAATTTCAGTACTAGTTTGAGATTTCGGCATGAGTTTGGATTTCGGCATCAGTTTGAAATTTTGGCATCAGTTTGGGATTTCAACATCAGTTTGGGATTTCAACATCAGTTTGTGATTTCGGCATTAGTTTGGTAGTTTGGGATTTCGGTATTAGTTTGGGATTTAGGCCAAAATATCATGATCAAAACTAGCTAATACAATAGCCTAAACCTAAAGAGATTAGGAAGGTTTGGATTTCAGGTATCATCTTTAAATATATTATTATTACAGTATATGATTTTTATTATAATAATTTTACTATTGTTAGAATCAGAAAAACTGTTTTACAATTTTGATTAGTAATCTAAAAATAATTTGCTCGAGAATTTTTTTAAAATTTAAAAAAATTATTAACCAACTTATATTATAATTTATAAAAAAATTTAGATTTTATATAATATCACAATACTATATTATGAAACGCACTAGACTAAATTATTGTATAGTATATTAGTATTTCATCAAACTGGAGGTTACTTAAAGTCAAAATTAATATTCCTACTGGAACTTTTACTATCAAGATCCATCTAGAAGAAAAATTTAATAGACTATCAATTGCAATAATAGATTTATAAATATATATGTTTTGGTGTAGTACCCTAAATACTTTTAATTCACGAATAATTTACGAGCTTAATAGTCTTCTTGATATTATTCGCAATAGTCAATATATAACACATTGCAAACCATTTTTTCTTTTGTATTTCATGTATTAAGTCTAATGATTCATAATATATTTATTGAATTATATCATTAGATTTTGACGTACCTGAAATTTCCATTGCTTTTCAATCATCAATTATTATCTCTCTTGATGTTTTTCTGTTAAAGTATGCCAAGTTATGAAGAAAATGTTAGAATATGAAATCACCAAGTTTTATAGAATATACAATAACAAAAGTGGCAATAAAATCGATAGCACCGTTTTTCTACTTCAGCTGCATTGACTATTGCTGATTGAATTTTTTCTCTAACCCAATCTACTTTACTAGCCGCGAGCTTAGAACATTGTATGATAGTGCCCATTTCTAAGGGTATTCCTCCAGCCTTTGATAAAACACAAATTTCTTTATGATTGTTTATTGCTATTGTCATGTCGCCTCTACGAATTTGCTCTTCTTTCAAAGAGGGATCAACCACCCACAAGTCACTGGGTTGAAGCAAAATTAATGAATGAATACAAAGAATATTGATAAAAAGGAATCTTGCAGTACCCATTTTCAAAAAATGCAAAAGTAACACAAATTGGCGTATGATGGATACTCAATGGAACCGGATTTCTTTGATCAACCGGATGCTATATAAAAAAAAATATATGCCATGTGCACAATTAAATAAAGACATGAAATATAAAAGAATTTCCGAATTTGGGATAACAATACTATTGTGACATCTTCTCCAATAACTGTGACATCAGGCCTCCGAAAATGAGAGAGGGCAGATATTGCAGCGATGCATGCAGCGTCGATGATATTTCCATCATTATCAAGAAAATGCATATCAACATGAATCGACCATGCCTGATAAATCAAACAAAATATAAATGACATATATAAACCGATATTAATAATGAGTCTATTATTTGAACTTACTAGTTCATTAGCAACGATGCATAATCCCTCAACATCAACTGCGCGATTTATTCTTATTGCCTTTTCAAGAATTC